CAATCCGGGCTGCCGGATTTCGAGTATTCAAATGTCTGTACAGAACAGTATTGAAGAGTCCTCCTGGGCCCGAGAGACAGCCTTGGGGAGTCCCCACAGCTTCCTTCCCTCTGTGTCAATGCTGCTCTGGCTGGGCTTCCTGTCTGGACTACGTTGCAAGGCTTGATAACTTTATATAATCAACATCGTTTCAATAACCACTAAAACAAGATGACATAAGACATATGTAAAGGCAGTAACATAAAAATAAAATATTAAAAGCTAAGGTAATAAACAATCAAAAGTACAAATATAAAAAAGCAATGAATTTAGAAAATCATCAAATTAATCCAACGGGGATACGGAAAAAAGACCAAAAAACCCCCGCAAACCCCCTGTCAGCTAACAGATGAACATAATTACTTATCAATCTGCTCTTTCAGGTTCTGCAGGCATCATAACAAGATTTAAAAACCTTTAAGGAAAATAGATTGCTCTGAGTATTGTGTTCCATACTAGCAGGCTTGTAGAACTGCAAATCTGATTGGTCCGTGAAACCCGGGCCATGATTGGACGATATGAACATCTCTGATTGGTTCGTACAGGGCTTGCTGCGATTGGGTGAAACCAAGCGCGGCAAGCTTGAAAGACTGTCATAGGCTGCCAAGCCGCGGCCGGCTCTATAAAAAGGGCTGCCGCAGCTGGGTTTGCTGTCTCAGAATCTGCCTCCTTAATAAAGAGCTGTTGTTCACCACTCGAGCCCCGTGTCTTAATGGGACCCACCGACCGTACATAACACATTGGTACTGAAGGTGAAACAAGGCCGAATGCCCTGGGAAGGAGCTTGGTGCCCTCGTAGGTAGAGAGGAAAGACCCGGCACGCTTGAGTATCAGCCAGGGCATAGAAGCGAAGAAAAGGAGAGACGGTCTCAATTTCTCCAAATCTTCCTAAGAGACTTTTTAACAGCTCCTTTCTCATACACCTCTTGGTAACAAATTAAAATGTGATGGTGTTGAGGTTCCTCTACACTGCGAGGTTTCTATTGAGTGCACAAGAGTTAGCAAAGTAATTGCCTGCAGAGGTTCTCCACTCCCTCTGTGGGAAGCCCGTCGGTCGCCTGCATTTGCCTTCTAAATGAAGCAAAAGGCTGCCCTGAAAGGTTCTCCTTTTGCCAAGTTCATACTCATTCTATTGCTTCCGGTGTGCTTTGCAGAGATGTTGACAAAGCAGACAACAGCCTACTTCTTGGTAAGATAGAGCAATGTGGGAAAGATAGTACCACGCCCAGATGGATTCGGAACGGGCTGACCGATCGCATTCAGCAGGTTGTCCCCGATGGAGCTGCATCCCCATGGAGGGTAGCATGTAGTGGGGAACCCCAGGGTTCTGTCTTAGGCCCAGATCTCTTTAATGTCTTCATGAATGGTCTAGATGAAGGGAGAGAAGAGGAGCTCATAACATCTGCTGATGACACCAGGCTGCGGGGAATAGCTCACACTTTAGATGATAGACTCAAGATTCAGAAGACTTGAGCACTGTGGGCGTGGCTTGGTGGGCATGGCCATGTGACTGGGTGGGTGTGGTTTTTTGGGGTTTTTTTGCTTTTTTGCCACCCCCCACCCATTTTGGGGAGTTTCCTACCCTCAGAGGAGCCTCGGGAGGGTGTTTTTGTTCCACTAAGGGTCCCCTGGAGCTCTGGAAGGCAAAAAATGGAGGGGTGCTGAGCTCCTCCCTCCATTTTTTAGCCTTCCTGGGCCTCCGTAAGGAGAATCCCGGCACAGCTGATCTATGCACAGCTGATTGTTGGGAGGGGAAAAAAAGAAATACCTTAGGCGAATGTCAGGCGGGCGAGTAAGCGAGCATTGGAGGCGTGAGAACTTGCTACCGGTTCAGCGACCCATGCCAAATTCTTGCTACTGGTTCGCCTGATCCGGTGCGAACCGGCTGAATACCACCACTGCTCCTTGCTCCGAAAAAGTGCACAAGAACAGCCTCCACTTGCCCAGAATGTGGCAGGTCAACTGAGAAGATCCCAAACTGGGTTTTAAGACCAGTTTATATTCTTGGGAGTTGTCCAGAGTTGGTTATAAGAAAAGTAGCTTTATAAATGTTGTAAATAAATACATCTTATCAAATGACTTTAACTGCAATCACTATCCAAATGTTAAAAATATACCTAAATGTGGAATTTAGTTTCCAGAAACAGCAATATAATTAATCAATGAGGGTTTCTCCACAGCCCACTCTGTATCTCCTGGTAATCATCAGTCATTTAAAAGCAAAAAAAAAAAAAATCTTAATTAAGTCAAAGTTTGCACCAGAAGAAGTGCCTAGAAATTACAAGTTGGATTTTCTTACAGATAGATTAAAAAGATAGAACAAATATTTCTTCCTTATCAAATGGATAAAATTAAATTATGTGCAGGGCCAATCCTTATGTTAATATTATCATGAGTATTTGGAAGCTGAAATACATATAATTTGCTAACTGTGAATGGATGTTATTTACCTAGGCATAGGCACAACTATCTAATCATTAATTAGTGTCAAGGTCATGCTGTTGAATTTAAGTAATGCTGCCAGTGCCTATTACTCAAGAGAAGAGATTTCACATGCCACAATGTCTAATATTCCAAAGATAAGAAGACTGAGATTCCAACATAGCCAGTTGCCTCCAGAAGTTGGTTGAAGAGTTGTAGACTCCAGGCAGGCCGAACAAGCCATGTTCCATGTTTAGCAACGTAAGTCACACTGCTATAGTCTCTTGGAACATTCCAGGCAGAGAGTGAAGAAATCAGAGGGTCAGTCCAGATCTAGAATGGAAGGAGGACCTCTCTGGGGCTCCTGCTGGTCCATGGTTTTCCATAAGCTGAATCCCTGATCTGTCAAATAAGAGCTGCCTGTCAATTTGCACTGGGAAAGAGATGTATTGCTGGCTTTGCAGGAGGCTGGTTTGTGTTGTTTTATTCTTTTGGAAGAGAGCAAAACCTTCCTGCATGCTCCAAGGGATGCTTCCGGGAGGCTCTGGCTTGGCAACACTTCCTAATTTGAGATGTTCCAGCATTATGGCGGTTTCTTTTCTTTAGCCCAAGCAATAGAAAAACTGGTAAGGTAGCCAAGTGGACAGGTCAGCGGGGCAGAGGAAAGGTCGAAGAGAAGGCAGCAGGGCACTCTTGCCGTGGGCTGCATGATCTCCCTCGGGGAGACTGCAGAGCTGAGCTCAGAAACAGTGTGGGACAAGCACACCTCCATCTTGGGCAACTTGACAAGGGGCTAAACCCTCTGTCCTCAGCCCCTGTCCATGTTCAATCCATCCTGGGCCACAAAAAAGCAACTGGTGATGCTTTTCATAATAACAGTTGGTGAGAAGGACTTAGGAATCAACCAATCGGGTGATAGAGGTGCTCAGAACCCTCCCTCGACAGGCAGATTAAAGTGTGGCTGTTGGACAGCATCAATCCTGCTGGCTTTCTACTAACTCTGGACCAAAGGAAAGCAAGTTAACCCCACTCTAAGGGAACGTTCCAGTGGGGGTGGGGGATAAAAAGGACCCGGCTGTCCTCATTGAAAGGGGCAGCCATGAGATTCTAAGTTTTTATTTATTTATTTATTTGATTTGTCAATCGCTTACAAGATAATAGGTATAAGTTAAAACATCAGTAAGAATACAGGAAATAGGTACAAATAAATAGGGACAATAGGACAGGGACAGGAGGCACGGTGGTGCACTTATGCACGCCCCTTACAGACCTCTTAGGAATGAGGTGAGGTCAATAGTGGATAGTTTGTGGTTAAAGGAGCGGGGGTTAGAGGATGCAACAGAGTCAGGAAGTGCATTCCAGGCATTGACCACTCTGTTGCTGAAGTCGTACTTTCTGCAATCAAGTTTCAAATGGTTAACATTGAGTTTGTATTTGTTGTGTGCTCTTGAATTGTTGCGGTTGAAGCTGAAGTAGTCATTGACTGGTAGGACATTGTAGCAGATAATTTTGTGTACTATGCGTAAGTTCAACTGTAGGTGGCGTAGTTCAAGATTGTCCAAGCCCAAAATTTCAAGCCTGGTGGTATAGGGTATTCTGTTGCAAGCAGAGGAGTGTAGTACTCTTCTCGTGAAATGCTACTGGACTCGCTCAATTGTATTAATATCCAATATACAGTGTGGATTCCAGACAGATGAGCTGTATTCGAGTATTGGTCTAGCAAAGGTTTTGAATGCCCTAGTTAGCAATTCAATATTTCCAGAGGAGAAGCTTCATAAGATTAGATTTACAACTCTTAATGCCTTTGTGGCAATGCTACAGCTCTACTGCTTAGATCATTAGATATGAGTACTCCGAGGTCCTGGTCATCAATGAGGTCATATCCACCTAGCTTGTATTTGGTGAAGTGATTTTTTTTTTTTACCAATGTGTAGGACAGAGCATGTTGGTCGAGATTTGGAGTTTCCAAATGTTTGACCATTCAGACACATAATCAAGGTCACTTTGAAGAACAGTAGCATTGTCGGGGGTGTTGAATAGTTTTACATCATCCATGAAGAGGACACAGTTGCTAATAAGGTGATCACAAAGGTCATTTATATAGAGTATAAAGAGTGTGGGTCCTAGAACGCTTACCTTGGGGGACACCACTGTTAACTGGAGCAGGGTTTGATGTAGCGCTCCCTATTTTTATTATGTGCTGCCTGTTTGACAGGAATGCAGTAATCCACTTACGAAGGGATCTGGAAATGCTGTAAGAGTTTAGTTTTAATAGTAGTTTGTCATGTACCACTGAATCGAAGACTTTGCAGAAGTCTATGTAAATCGCATCTATTGCTTTACCCTGGTCGAGTAGAGTAGTCCATATGTTTTTGCAGTGTAGGAGTTGTAGGTTGCAGGACAATTTTTTCCTGAAACCAAATTGTTTTGGGGAGAGTAGGTTGTTTGACTCTAAGTGGAGGGTAAAGAATTGGTTAATGATTGATTCCATGACGTTGCACATGACACAACACAGTGAGATTGGTCTGTAGTTTTCAACTAGGCTGGTGTCACCTTTTTTGAAGATAGGGATGACCATAGCTAAAGAGTTTCGGTAAAGAGCTGGTTTTGAATGATATTTCACATATAATGCTTAGGGGTTCCGCTATGGCAGAGGAAATGTTTTTTAAGAAGTATGCATATAATCCATCGGGGCCAATAGATAGGGATGATTTTAGGTTTCATAGTGCCTTTTCTACATTATCTTTTGTAAAGTCAATATATAGTAGATCATTTCAGTTAGTTGTGGCACAACTAAGAAATGTGGGGCATGAGCCATTGCTGTTTACAAAGACTGAACTGAAGAATGTGTTGAAGAGGTTGGCCTTAACAGCTTGGTCACTGGGGTCTTTCCCATTTGGTCCCTTTAAGGTGGGATGGTTCTTGAGTCTTTAAGTTTGGAGTTTACAAAATTCTAGAAGGTGCAGGTAGATTTTGTATGTAGGAAGTTTTGTACGTAATAATTTGTCCATTCTGCCTTTATCTGTCAGCATCAGGTGTTGTATCGGTTTTTAAAGTTTGCTACATAGCTAGTTTTGTTTTTATGCCATAGTGATTTTTTTTATTGAAGTTTCTTTATTGTTATGGGTAATTTGTTTTTGTTTTTTTGTTTTGTTTTTAGGGGTTACTAATGGTACATACAGTTTAATGACTCTTTCAAGTTCAAGTAAGAATACATTATAATGGTCTTCTGAAGTATTACAGTTAAAGAACAGAATGTGTCAATCAAGAGATGATAGGTCGGCATCTATGAGATCATAGTTGGCTTTTTTGAAATTGTATTTTGGAGATCCATCATTATGATCTTCTTTGGGAGGGCATAAATTGAGACAAAAGTCAATCATACTGTTGTCACTGTTTGAAAAGGGTTCTTGTATTTGTAGGTCATAAATTGAGTTTGAGCTGTTGCAGAAGATGAGGTCAAGGCAGTTGCTGAGTCTAGTGTTGTTAATTACTGATTGATCCAGTCCCACTGTAGTAACGGCATTGTACAGGGTTGCATGTATGGGTTCGGATGTACATTCATTTAAGGTCCAATCTATAAGAGGTAGATTGAGGTCACCAAGGAAAATAGGAGGGTGTGGACAAGAGGCAGCCCACATCAGCAGTGAAGTTAGTTTGTTTGCATGAACAGGGGCTCTGTAGCATAATCAGGGGCTCTGTAGCATAATAAGAAGCGGATAGTGGTATTTAAGGACAGTTCACAGACCATGGTCTCTGGAAGAGCAAGCTCCTGTGTAATTAGAATCCTTCTTAGATTTAGGGATTTTTTACAGAAGACAGCAATTCCTCGATGGATTTTGCAATCTGACTGATAAACGTGATATTCTCTGACTGTGATAATGGAGTCTGGAAAAGATGCATTCAACCACGTCTCACAGACAAATATAATATTGAATGTGGCTGTGCTTAGTAAGATGAGGAATTCATGCATTTTGTTTGCGATGCTTCTTGCATTGAGTAGTTTGTATTTTAGATATGTAGTAGTGGATCTGGAGGAAGTAAGGGGCGTGCATGCCTAATGTTGGATGTTGCGGTGTTGGTTATTGGGATGTAAATGGAAGGTCTTGCTTTTGATACATTCTGTCAATGTATAAGTTAGTATTTCCTTGTTCTTGTAGTCTTGAGTTCAGAGTGTAGTTCATGGGACCATACACATGGCTGTAAGGTTAGGTCAGGACAAGAATGGAGATTCTTATGGTTGATGTTGCTCTTGGCAAGTTGTTGCGATATGACACATCAGTAGGAAGTCACGTACACAGACAACCCAATACACATACAATACATATATAGGGAGACACTATAGGAACAGCAACGTGCAAAACCTGAGTTGGCAATAGCATAAGGATTAGCCATATATGGCAATGTTTCCTGTTCCTGTATAAAACCTGAGTCAGATAAGGATTAGCCATATATGGCAATGTTTCCTGTTCCTGTATAAAACCTGAGTCAGATAAGGATTAGCCATATATGGCAATGATTCCTGTTCCTGTATAAAAACCTGAGTCAGCTATAGCATAAGGATTAACCTTATATGGCAGTGTTTCCTGTTCCTGTCTAACCTCATGTAACCTAACCCCCCCCTGCTTGCTGCACAATAAAAGAGAGGTGCGTAGTACTATCTGGGCTTCCTCTCACCAAAAGAAACCTTTGTGTCGCTGTCATCTTTGCCATCAAGAGGAGCCCACCCAGACAGTCTGCCTGGGTGCTGGTCGTCAGCTGATTCATCCTGGTATTGGGACCCGCAACTCATCAGCAAGTGAGTTTATTATGAATTTTCGTTTGCTTAATTCATTTTTGCAAACAACCCTGCAGAAGCGTGGGGCCAATGAGCTGTCACTTTTTTTAAACAGTGCCAATGTGGGAAATGTCGAGTATACACTTCTGCCTTGGGCGGATTCTGGGCAGCTTCCAGGATTCCACTTGTGGACCGAGGTCCTGGCAGATGCAGAGACTGGGAAGGTGATTGCGTGCACCACCGAGAAGCTGCTAACCGGCTGCTAACATTCTAAGCAGTTCAGAGAACCGGTTGTTAGAAGAAATTACTGGCCTAATCCTGTAAGGAAGGCAGGAAGGAAACATTCTGGTGTTGCTTACAGAAACTGCCTCTCCGTTAACCCTTATTACATTCTTGGCAGGACTAGACTTCCTGTCTCAGGAACTTCTCTGAAGTTTTTTTCCCCTCCTTTGCTGGTACTTTGCTTGTGTGGAGTGACCATTGAAAAAAGTGACTTATGACCCTTTTTCACACTTACGCCTGTTGCAGCATCCCCACAGTCATGAGAGGCCAGGCGAGGAGATGCGTGCCTCAATGTGAGTGATATTGAGTTGGCCACGCCCAGCCAATCACATGACCACCAAGCCACACCCACCAACTAAGCCACACCCACAGAACCGGTTGTTAAAAAATTTGAATACCACCTCTGGGGCTGTCCCAGAGAAGAGGGGTCCAGGCCTGCCTTCTGAGTTCTGCCAGGTGAAACTTTTACAGGTGAGATCCATAGTGCACCTCTTCCACCTCTTCTCAGGAGAGGCAGTCCCTCCGGTAACCTGGCCCTACCATAAAAGCATTCAAGGTCAAAAACAGCACCTCAAATTGAACCTGAAGCAAATTTGCAGCCCATGGGCCTCACGGAACAGAGGTGGAACATGTGCCATTCTGGAAGCACACATAACTGCCCGTGCCTCTGCATTTTATGCCAGCCCCTCTAGTGCGCCCCCATATTACTACCCATTCTTGGGTCTCCAACAGTTGTCAGGTAATTATTGCTAAGGTGGCCCTTGCTCGCTTTCTTGTTCTTTTCATTCTACTTTCAACGGCTACAAGCACAGTCCAAGTTACACAAAAAGGAAGAAAGCAGCTTGCTTTGTACCGCTCTGGAGACCCTGCAATTACCATCAGCTAGCTTCATTTTCCAAACGCATGATCCTTACACATGGCCTAAAGAGCCATTTTGTGTGGCACTGGCTAGAGAAACTGTTTGACAGCTCCCAAAGAACACTCCCCCCCCCCCTGCTGCACCCCGATCCTTTTTGTTATTCTAAGTGAACAAAAGCTTTCAAATTACATTTCCTGGGAAAGGATTTCTGCATTGCTAATTTCATATTGTGCTACAGGTTTACGGCTCACATAACTGCTGAGAATAGCAGAAACAGCCATCGATGGGCAGCCGCAGGGGCAGTAAGAAACCAGCGGTCTCTTCCTTTACCACTGAACAAAGGTACTGTTAGCGCAAACAATGAAGAACCAGAGCTTATTGCGATTTCTCCTGAAGAGAAATTGTGATTCCTCCCAAAGATCAAAGCCTTAGGAGTGCGCCTTTG